AGGCTTTCCAGCGACAAGCCCCTACTTGGGAGCGGCTACGTATGCTGTGTTTTTGGGAAATTGTAGTTGGTGAGTTTCTGTGATATTACTGCTACTTCTACTTCCTGTTATCTTCTTCGTCGTCGTCTTTTTCACCAGTAGAAACAGCACATTGTTGATCACGTGACTCCCGTGATGCGAAAAAGGGTTTCCATTGCAGTTTTGCGAAAAACACCAATTTCGATACAGCCGAAATACCACTTCATCCTAGCGCAAAAACATTTTGTCGAAAAACATATTTTTTGTTCGAAATTGACRTGTTTCCATTGAGCAAATTTATTTTCGAAATTCTAATTTGTGCATTTTCATGGTCAATGGAAACGCAGCTATAGACATTTTTGTCACTTGGTTTTCTTAGATTGCTCCTTTAAAGGATCCGCTGGTGCAGCGTTTCCAAACCGACCTGTCTTTTGCACATTTCACAGTTGTTTAGACATATTTTCTTTTCCTTCTTGGTCACTGACCAGACTGTGGTGTCCACGCTGCTATCATTAAGCTGTTTGTAGTCCAGCTGAGCGAAGAGAGGGAACAGGACCTGGATGCCTCCTATAGAGTGGATGGCGCTATGGATGGAGTGGGTAACGATGGCCTTCACGTCCTGTGGGACAGCAGAGGATCATTAGTGCTTAAATAAAGCAAAAAAAAAAATCAGAATGCAGAGCAAACTAATGAGAAAATTCAAAAGGTTTAAAGCCTTTAATGTTCCCTGTAGGACAGGGTATTAAGTGTCTTTCCTGCATTTTCTGTTTTCTGTTTTTAACCTCTTGTGTATCCCCTCGTGAAAGACCACTTATGTGCAGCACTCCAAGCAAATAGAATACAACAATTTTTTTTCACAAATGCACGAGGTGGGTGTGAGTCAGCCCCGCAAGTGTGTTCATTTCACTTCAATCAGTCATTGTTGCGTTGCGAACAAATCAAGAGACGTAGGCGCAGTCACCCAGCCGCACTGACCTGGAGCATGAGCGCGTGCGGCGAGTGCACGAAGATGGAGGGGTTCTCCCTGGGCGATGACTCCAAGCAGAGCTGGGCGTCGGTGGCCTTGGCATTGTAGGTGAAGGAGATGGAGCTGGCCAGCTTGCYGTCGTACAGTACCTGCTTGTGGTGCTCGGCCAGGTGGATGTCGCTCTCTGACTTGAACTTGAAGGTGCTCTGCAGAGACGGACAGAACGGGCAAAGCAACTTCAGCTCCRAGAGACGAGCGGAGGAGCGTGAGCTTGTTTCTGCGTGTCAAGAGTTCAACACCCAAAATGGAGTCTGTGTAATTGTAGCAGGAGCCGTGTGTAAACAACATAGCATTATCTTAATGAACACAGCGCTAACACGGGCACTAATTCAATTAGTAGAAGAAGCAGCGGCAGAGAGGGGAGCAGATGTGTGGGAAAGAAGCACTCAGGGATCCAAATGCATCACTTCACAGCAYGTGTCAAACTCCGCTCCATCCAGACCGCCAATGAGAAAAATCAATTATTTTTAATTCATTTAATTTAAAAATTGATTTTAAATCAATTGTAAACTTTAAATTTCTGATTCAATGCAACAAAATAAACAAATTTAAAGGGTGAAAGATGTCCGGCCCTGAGCTGTTAGCTTTCAGTAACTGTGGTCCTCTGAGCAATTTAATTGAACAGCCCTGTATTAATGTCTCAAAATAAGCAGCTTTAAACCAGCACTGACCATAAACTACATCTCCCATGATGCAATAATGCATGTTGACTGTTCTACCTGCAAAATGATGGCATCCCACCACTAGGTGGAGGTGCACAAGGTTCAAAGGTAGCCAGTGAAATTCATCGTGTAAAATCTCTTATTTTGCTGCATTATTGCTACGGCCCATTTGTACTGGGAAGTGGGAATTTCCCACTTATAAGTCATACATTTAAACTGGAATGCTCCTCCAGTAGGAATTCTTTGTTGGAAAGTGTGAGTGTTCAGAATTAAAGAAGGAATCTACTCACCACAACTCAACAGTGAGTGAAACWGGCTTACATTTACTTTTAATAYAATTTCTGTAGTATTTATATCACACTTAGTCTGTCGTACACATTGTACATTTCAGCGTTTATAAGAGAATATGTTAAAATGYTGTTTCTATGCATGAAATACCACATAGAGCTCAGTTATTGTTTGTTAGCAGTGCTCAGCCGTAGCAATAAAATGAGGAACATGACGTCTCATGTTTAGTTGGAGTTAAACAAGGAACATCAAAGTAAATTACAACTCGCCCTTTGAGGTCCACCTCTGCTCATGTGGCCCTCAGTGAATGAGTTTGACCCCACTGCTTTACAGTATATTCTGTCAACAAAATAATCAAAATGGTGGACTTAAAAATGAAGTSCAGCTACCTTTGATTCAACTCACTAGATAGTTTGSCGTGCTTTGCTAACAATAAATAATGTAACTGTCAAAAAGTATAAATAAAGTGGGAGAACGGAGGTCAGTCATTACCGTTAAAGTGCCAATATTATGCGTTTCTCATGCATGCATTTAAATACTACACCATAATAAAGTATCTATGTCACCTTTAGCTGTTATTAAAATGCTGTTTTTATGTTTAAATAGAAAATAAACTCATCTTCTCATCTCTTCCTCTTCTAAACACCTTGAAATGAGCCTCTGTCTCTTTAAGAAGCACTTTCTGCTTCTGTTTTGCCCATTTCGGTGCGGCGGAGGTGGGGGGTGGTTGTGCTCGTGGGGGAGGCTGCTATGATGCAGTTTACTTAGCATCTGAAAATACATTTTCTCAAAGGTATTTTGAATCTGGAAAGAGCTTCACTAAGTGAGAACTAATGTTGAGAGCTCAGCAGACAGTTAAGTTTCACTTTCACCCGAGAGCCTGCAGGAGTTTTGGGGGGGGTGTGCACTTAAAGACATGTCCCAGGGGTGTTTCTGGTCCCAAAAGGTGTTTCTGGTCCTCACCTGTCGTTTTGATCCTCAGCATGGCTGCCTAATGCTACGTTCACACCAAATGCATTTTGAGCTGCAGGAGTGGCAGATTTACATACAAAGTCTATGGTGGAGGTGCCTCTAGGGGTCATGCGTCGCATCACGTACATTTTGGGCGGCGCGCAAGGAAGGCRGAAGGGGCGCAGCGCGTTTTCCGCGCATGTGGTGCTGYGGAAGCCACCGCYGCCCGAGCCGCCGCCAGAGTTMARAWATCTGAACTTTTTGCCGCTYGACRTGTCTCCCACTGAAAACCKAAACAGACKGRCTGGAGATCTTTACCTGAAATCSACCRTGTGCAGTTGGATTTTCTGGCAGGATATATCAGCACCAATGTGRATCAGCTGCTCGGGACAAAAAAAAGGCCATCAGCTGGCAGCTTTTGGAGTGACGAAACTAACCGAACAAACCGCCTCTAAATCATCTGGTGAGTTAATTATCTGCTGTGTGCAATCGCCTGCTTTTTAGTAAATAAATCAAAGCCATTTTCTTTTATTTTATCTTTATTCACACGCCGAGGAGACGCTCCTCCCACACCCAGCTGCAGCCGCTGCTGCTTGTTCTGGTCTGAACATAGTGCGTCCAACTTGAGGCGTTTTGTGCTTTTTTGCAGCTCAAAACGCATTCAGTGTGAACGTAGCATTGAAACGCTGCAAGATTTCTCAAACATGCATGAATGAGTCAAATCAAGGCTTTGGGCATGTTTTTATGAGAGTATGACATTATAGCATGATATAAACTCAAAAAAGTTGATTTTACATGATATTGCCCCTTTAAGGAAGAAATTTGGATAAAAACTGGAATAAATGTGATCAAAGATACATTAAGGGTTTGGTGAAATCTAATTGTGAAATTGAAGACAGACATCTCACCTACTGCCTTACATGTCAAGGTTTTCTACAAAGATCTGTTTGAAATCAGAGTATTTGCAGACATCTCGTATACTACCACCACTATGTTTAGTTCAATATTGCCTGTCTTTCAATAAAAACACTGCAGAAGTCACAACCAATTTCTGCTTGTGAAAGTAGGAGTGTTTGAAGTCACCCACGGCAGCAAGGAGTCAAAGTACTCAGACTAGAAAATATGACAATGTCAGGATACATCAACCTCAAATTTTGAAAGAGTGGCACCAGAAGAACTACACTTTATTTTGCTAAAAGCAATGGTGGTTACCAAATGTTAAATCCAATGAAATGTACTGGAGGAGACGTAATACATCAGTCTAACTCTCCAATCATCAAAGAAAGCTCCTGGCAAAATATGACTTCAAATCTGAGCTAAAATAAGAACTTTGGAATCGCTAAAGCTTATCTGAGCAATGCTATCACAAACGTGCACTAAAACTGCTCCAATAAAAATATTAGAGTCTGTTACTTTTACTTCCAGTGCACATTCCTCCTGTTTATGCTCGAAAAAACTGTTAGAAATGCAGGTTGAACTTTTATATCTAAATCTGTCCGCTCAGGCCTCCAAGTTCACATGTCCCGCAGCGTTACTGCCGCTGCGACACGTATGAAGCCCCGCAGATGAAAAAGCCTTGCGAGTTGCTCTGCTACCCTTTGCAGCAGCTCCTCCAGGCGAGGGCTGCCCCCGCCCCCGCACGCTCCCCAGCTGCCTTGCTCAGCCCGACTGCGCAGGAAAAAGCCCAAGGCCGCTCAGAGACCTGCAGGCTGGTCTCGCTCGAAACCTTTCATGTGAGGTCGAGCTGAAGATTTGGGCCTTGAGAAGCTTCAAACGCAGTGCATGAATCCTTCCCATAACGCCAGCTAACCTGTATAAACTTACTGAAGCAGACACCAACACTGACAACACTTAGATCTACCACGGTTAATATTTACACACTTTAGAAGATGATATCTAGGCAAATTACAAGTCTTGTAGTTAAAAATAATAATTGTTAAAATGCTTATCCATTTAAAACTGTAGCTATGTGCAGTGGTAATCAATCACAAATATAAATAAATTGCTCTTAGGTTTAGTTTGAAAGTTGAAGGCCCTCTGCATTTACGAAAAACACTGAATAGCCTGAATGCAAAATTAATACACTTATTAAGRAGCACGTGTTTTTGCAGAGTAAGCCCATTTACCGTGCCACACTTATTAAAAATGTGCAGTGGTGGGACTGAAATGAGCCGTTATGTTACCGAGCTGAATTCAGGAGGCAGGAAGGTGGAAGTGTGAACAAACTTTGCTGAGCTTTAAACTATTGGAGTGTCTGCAGAGGCTTTTTTTTTGCAAACAGCAGAAGCATGTAGGAGGGGAGCAGAATGCTGTTTATTATTATTATTATTATTACATATGTGAAGCTTCCCTCAGCTGGGATTAAAGGCATGTGTCTTATATGAACACACAGAAGAATGAAGTTGACAATTTATGCCTTTTTAACACCTGACAGCTGCAGATGCAGAAATGGTCTTCAGTGATAACTGTACACACACACACACACACCGACACACACTTGTCTCATCCATTCACTTCAGCCTGATTCCCTGTGTTTCCACACTCTTTGCAGAACAAAAGGGCAAAAGTCGATCTATGACAGACAACTGTTAGCAAAACCAGGGGCCTGTGCGTACACACAAAAACCTTGCRTACGTCATTTTCCACGCAAAACTCCGGATATATCAAAACCCAACTGAACGTGGAAATGTGCGCAGCCCCACGCCAACTCCAGGGCTGGTGTACGCACGTTTCTGTGGCTTTGGCTCCATTGGCGACGCTTAGAGGTGATTCTGAGAAACTGCTCATGATGTGAAAATGATTATTGTTCACAGCAGACACACATGATTAACAATTATTACATCCATGACCAATGGAACGGTCTCATCCATATGGTTCTAAAGGCTGAGTTACGGTCGCGCTCTGGAGCATGCACCCTCGCYGGCAGTGGAGGTCTTTCATACTTTGCGTTTACGTTGTTGTARATTTCTCCAAAATGACACATGAAATAGGGTTGGGCATAATCGTATCGTGTGCAATTAATCGTCAGAAAAATGTTAATCGATTACTTTTTGGCACTTGATGATTAATACGATTAATGTCACCAGAAAGAGTCCACTCGTTGCTCCTCTCTGCTTAAAATATGATGAATATTAAAAAAAGGTTCTGTAATTTATCAATCAACACAATTTACAATTGTGCCTGAAGTAATTTTGACATGATTTGGAACAGATTTTTATGAAGAGCACATCTTTCCCACTAAATTG